GAGGGACCCGCATGGGGGGCAGTGGGCACAGCCCTCACCCACCTCCTCATGCCACTGGCAGGAGAGTGAAGAGTGGATCCTGGTGGGACGGGTGATCGACCGTGTCTGCTTCTTCATCATGGCCTCCCTCTTTGTGTGCGGCACTATCGGCATCTTCCTCATGGCTCACTTCAATCAGGCGCCTGCCCTGCCCTTCTCCGGGGACCCCAAGCAGTACCTGCCACAGTGATGCCCACAGGTGCCCACCAGCCCTCTTGCTGCTGGGACTGCCAGAGCCAGGGGCTGGGTGCCCCCAAACCAGCCCACCAGGAAGAGATCCCTGTGGGCACAGCAGATCCTGGTGCCAAGCACAGTGCTGGAGGAGGACTGGGGGTGGCGGGGCTCTGCCAGCCCCCAGCAGTGGTGGTGATGGGAAAGGGGGGAACATGGGGTGGCCATGCTGCACTGAATGTGGAAGTAAAGCCTGTGGCAGTCTCAGGAGCCTCCATGGCATCATTGCTGTGTGCCCACTGATGGGGTTACCCCTCTTGGACACGCTGGATGTGCCACCTGTGCAGGCTGGCCACAGACCTCTAAGCCACAGAGTCCTGTCCCAGCACCCCACAAAGGTGCTGAGAGGCGAGACAAGGGGGAACTGGAGCAGAGTCAGGCATCTGATGGGCCACGCACGAGTGCTGGCAGCCGGAGCCACATTATTCCACTGCAAATTCACAGCTTCAAGCCCAGGGCAAATGGGGCCTCTAGCATCCCCTGCCACGGCAATGGTGGTAACAGGGCAGGAATCACAAACACAGCCTCCCATCCCAGGTCAGCAAGGGAGCCACAGATGGGATTAGGGGCAGGTAATTCCTCCCTCCATTTATGCCCCAGCCATGGCCCTTGGGAGCAGCTGAATTGCTGTCCCTGCTCCCTAGCAAGCAGCTGGGGGTGGGAAGACCCTGGGCCACCAGGCACCCAAACCCCCTCAGGGCTGGGTGCCCCTTGGCACCCACCTTGCTACTGAGCATCATTACATGACTCCCTCCCCTGCCAGCCCTCCTTGGCCCACGGGATCATTTCTGTCAAGCATGGCCCCTTCCCCTCACCCCAGCAATGCCACATCCCCCTCATGCCCCTCACTGACCTCTGGGGCCCCCACGGCTTTGTCCCTGCTGGCGGGGGAGATGCAGGAGGTCAGCCTAGGAACAGTGGCAGGCAGCGTCTGCTCCTCTGTGGTCCAGTTCACACCACCTGTGCCTGGCTCCAGGACATGCTGTGTCTCCATCAGCCTCACTGTCCCAGCGCCCCACTGCTGCTGCTGGGAGAAAACCAGCTGGTTACCGGCTGCAACTGGCTCCTGGCACTGCTGGCATGGATGGAGGAGGGAGGCAAACACCCAGCAGCTGAGACATCACCTCTTGGACACCTGCAGCCTGGCCATGGCCCAGAGCCACCCTCTGGCTGTGCCAGCCTGCCTCTGCTCTCTGCAAAGTGACTTTTCCTGCCTCATCCCTGGGAGGTGCGTGATGCCCACGGCACTGCAACCAGGTGGATCTGGCGCTGCAGGCTGGCACCTTGAAGCAAGCAGGGATGGTGTCCACCAACACAGGCAAGGGGGCCCGGAGGAGCTCACCAAGCACCCAGAGCCCTGCCTGGGTCCCCTCCCATGGAGGCAGCCCTGTGGCCATGTTCTGGGTGAGGTGACCAGGTCCTGGGGCACCATACTCCTCCCAGCCACAGCCTTCTTGCTGGTGAGTGACAGCACTGCACAGCACTCCTGTCCCCCCACGGCCACTGCATGGTGGTGTCCTCTCTCCAGCCCCACAGTGGCTGAAGGGACAGGCTGCCCTGGCCAAGTGTCCCCAGCCCTATGAGAGCCAGGAGCTGCCGTAAGCTGCCCAAACCATAGCACCAAGCATGTCCCCAGCCCCTGGGCTCTCCCTCCCCAGGAAGGTGCAGAATTAATGAGCTCTGCTCTGTCTTTGCCTGGCCGTTTCCCATTGATTCCTGGGTCCCCGTTGCCCTGCTCCCAGTCCCCAGGGCAAGGGGGCTCTGAACAGGGCCAGGTACTGTCACCCACTTCTCCCTGCTCGCTGCTGCTTCTTCCAGGTGAGCTCAGTCCCTGGCATGTCCATACAGCACAGAAAGGGACGAGCTCTTCCAGCCTGCCTGGACCACATGACTGAGACCACATTCTCCACCATCCCCAAGCAGTGGTTTTACCTGTCCTCCGGAGGTCCCTGGGGTTTATCACCACACCAGAGACAAGGACAAAACCAAAAGCAGTAGCCAGGATGCCACAGGTCTCGGGCAGCAGATGCGCCTTGCAGGATCCAGTGGGGGAACACCTAGCAGGTCACCAGATCCAGAGCTAGCAGGGTGCTGGGGGGAGTGCATGAGAGAAGAAAAGCTCCCCCAGCCCAGCATCAGCCCCATGGGCCCATGCCCCATCAAGAAGCACTAAGACAGGGCAACGTCAGCCTCCAAGCATCCCCCAACTGCTCCACTCCAAACCTGGGGACTCCTTCTCTCTGTGGGCTGAGAAGCCGATTTCCTCCTTAGCTCCAGCTCAGAGACACCCAGTGTACCCCCCCCTACCGCTCCCTGAGCCCCCCAGCCAAGCCATCAGCCCCCACTTGACTAGCCACAGGTAGACACCCAGGGCCCATGAACCCACCAGGGCCTAGCATCCCCTTAGGAAAGAAGGGCCCTGGGGCTGGACTCCAGGACTCGAAGGGGTTCAAAGCCCTGCCTGTTTCCCCAAAGGCCACTATGCATGGATCTGACGAAATTTAAGGGTGGACAAAGCCTTCAGGATGAGCAAAGCAGGGAAAGTCATGACTCACTGCAGATTTGGAACTCCCATGGCTCCAGCCTTGCTTTGTGAATAAAGAGGATCCGAAACCTTTTTCTAGAGCATGACAGAGGCTCCTCCCCTCCCAAACAACCCCATGGCTATCTTTTCACCACTCTTATTAGCAGGACACAGTAGACTACAACCCAAAAGCCCTGCTCAAAAAAAAGTCTGACTCCATCCCTCTCCAAGCCATAGGAGGCACCAAACCTGGTGCTTGGCGCTGATCAGACACTGCTTTTCTTGTGACCTCAGGAAAAGTTGTAGCCTTAAAGAGGACAAACTCCACACCCCAGCCAGCTCACTCCCTTCAAGGCTGAGGAAGAGGAACCAGTGCTGATTTCCTCCAAATCTCAATCACAGTGGCAGCAGGAGGAGAGGAACAGCCTCCCAGGGAAGGACTTCCACAGCCCACTCGGAAAGCGTATTTAAGGGCGAACACAGCAGGACTGCAGCATTTTCAGATTTAATAGCAAGCCTGCACTCATCAGCACCAGCTTAGACACAGGGCATCAGAATCGAGAAGTGGGCGAGTACATGAAATAGCAGAGGTGGACGTGACGCGCAGCTGGGCACAACAACAGGACTAAAGCCCTAAGTGATGTCATCTGCAAGAAGCTAAATACACTGTGAATAAAAGGAGCCTGCAGCTAGTATTTCAGCCTTGCCTTGCAAGGCTATTTTTGCTTAGATTGCCAAAATGTAATTACAACTAAATCCCCCCTAACAAATACTGGAGAGCAGCAGGGGAGAGTTGTATTTAAAAGGAATTTTAAGTAGCAGCCGTAGTAGTACCTGATCGCAGCAGGGAAAACAAACTGCGCCTGGAAAAGAGCATTTGGTTGTGAGCTTGTGACAAACAAGTGGCAAGAGCTGGAATAGGACTGGGGTCTCAAGAAACACAGAGAGATGCCACCACAGCACGGGGAACTGCCCTGCTCCCTGCCCAGGCAGGTGTCAGCAGGCACAAACTGCCTGACCACAGGGAGCAGTCAGTCATCGCTGTCAGTGCGCTGAATGTTTCTAGAGACAGCCTAGGACTGACACCCTCAATATTCAAGGGAAAACAAACCCTTCAGAAGACTGAATATTTTAAACTGTTTTCTCTGCTGGTCCTGGCTGCTTTCAGTCTAGACTTCAATAATAACACAAGGAATTTGCAATTGGAGTCATGAGGCTGAAGGTCTCCCGGTCCCCAACGCTGGTAATCGTCCCAGACATGGGCCACTAGTTCTGCAGTCGTGACCAAATTGGCCCAAGCGGCCCCTTCTCCTGAGGGACTGTGCAGAGCACGTAGGGCAGGAGATGTGACCCATCTCTGGCCGCAGCCTCCCCTCCTGGGCCTGATGTAAAGGCTCTATTAAAAACAAAAGGCAATTGTGCGATTCCCCAAGGAAAAGGGGAAAAGGCTGGAGCTGTTAATGAGTACAATTAGTGTTGTAGTCAAGCAGAATCAGAGGAAATAATTAGCTCCTATTGTTTCCGTGGCATCTGAATTGCAGCCATGCTGGCTTTCCAGGCAACAATCCATCAGACTAGCCTCACCCCACAGGACAGGAGACGGGGTCACTCGCAGCCCCTCTTATGGCCACAGCTTTCACAGCTATAAGCAGCAGCCTAGGCCACCACCCTCTTCTGCTACACCCACTGGGGGTCCAGTTTCCCAGATGGCTGGAGACTTGCAAACCTCAGCGCAGCCCAGAAGCATGCATAGCCCTGCATTCAGCCTTTCCTTCGATCCAACACAGGGCAGCACTGCTGGCTCTCTACTGAGACAGCCAGAGTCAAGGCAACTAAGTGACACCAAACATCTCTTTGTCCTAGTTTAAGGGAAGCTTGCATCCCTCTCCCCAACAAATAGGGCTGAGTCCAAGGCACTGCTAACCAGGGAGTATGAAGACGGGGCAAAGACAAAGCAAGCTTATCACTTTTTAAGCAAGATGTTACATAAGTAACTCCTCTGCCCCTATAACTCCACAAATACAGCAAAGTTTGGTCACCACTGGCACTTGGGGTGCTTCATGTAGGTGGGCAGCTCAGGGGAAGATGCTTAATAGAGCTGGCGGAAGCAGGCCTGGGGCCTTACCACAGCCTAGAGAAATACCATCCCACCAATTTTTAGACAGAGCCAAAAAAGAGAGACTGAAAGAAACAAAGAGACCCAATAATTTATTGGCAGAGCTGAAAGGGGGCATTTGAAAACCATAGGGCTGACTCTCAACTGGGAAGCTCCTCCCAGGTGCAGAGAGATTTATAATACTGGTATCCCTCAGCAAAAGGCTCTGACATTGAGGCAGAATCCCAGAGATCCTGCATGCCATGCAGAGAAAGAGAGGAAAGTGCTGCAAGATGCGGCCCCAAGGGCACGCTGCTAATTGAAAGGTTGGCCTCCCGCCCCACTGCTAAAAAAAAGTTTGTGTATGACAAAAATCAGCCTCTATTGTCACCGCTGCTGGAGGGCTTCAGATGGATCCTTCCTCCAAGGAGGAGTGCAAGAGAGTGGCCCATGAGTCCTTTCAGAGGTCGGAGGGCACTGGTGGAGACCTCTCAGTGCTTTCAACACGGAGAGAGGAGCTTAGTGCCAACTCTTGTTCTCACAATGTGATTTTTGTGTTTCGAAAGCTTGAATTATCCCTGGAAAACAGAGGGAAGAAAGAGGTTAAAGGTGTGCATTCCTTCAGATCACAGCACCCCCCCATTCCACCCACCATGGCTACCAGTGTTGCCATCCCACAATGTCACTCAAATCAATGCTCCTTAAACCTCCTAAGCAGGTCTGCTTTCTAACTAGGGACTTTTCACATAAGTCAGCCTGCTGCTCCAGAACACTTGGAACATGGAAAGATCCTGGTTCATCCCCATTCATTGGGAAGAAAAAAGTGTCATCTCCTGTGAGCAAAGCATATGATAGACTCTGGAAACCTCCCTGATAGATTCTGGTGTTTAAACAACTTACAAGATCTCTTCCTTCCCAAACATCTGTCCTCAGGGATTCTTCTTGGAGCACAAATATACCATCAGTCCAACCTCCTCTTGCCTCCGTCCTTCGTATTTAGGCTCCTTTTCTCATGCTGTCAACAAGTTTAGCTCTCTGGTCTCTCCTACCTTAAAAGAATATCTAATCTGAAAAGGATGTTTCCCTCAAGTTTAAATAGAAGAGTCTCTTCAGCAGCTTCTACTCATGTGAGTACAGCTATGTGAGTCGCAGGGGCTACTGACAAAGAAAGAACTGCTGGTCTACAACCTTCATTTGTATAGTCTTGTGGCACATGGCAGCAATTGAAGATGGGGCAGGTTACAGAGATCTGTGTTAATGCTTACTGCTAGCCTGTGAGCAGCAGCAACAGGCAAAGCATATTTACACATTAATAGAAAGGTGGTGTGTTTTTTTTAAACTCAAATGGAAATAAATGAGATTGCAATTATTTTGAGAGGATAGGTTTGGCAGCTCTTCCCATAACAGGGACAGGGCAGTAAGTTGCCCAAACCAAACACCTAGGGATGTCCCAGCACATATCACACCAAATCAGCAGAGCTATGTTGAAGAGCAAAGGCAGCAGCCTCAGAAGCAAGGTGCTCTGCAGGACTGTAAAATCCTGCTTAAACCCTTGAGCTAGCATTGTGTGCTGTGAAGAGCTGCAAGGTAGCGGTACATCACAGCACAGTGCATGCTGGAACACCTCCAGGAGGTGGTCTGGAGAGCTGGAGGAGCAGAAGGAAGTAAAAAACACTCTTTAGAGCGTTAAACAAGTTACTCTGCTATGACATGACAGCAAAAATCATGCTGGAGGCCATCTGCAGAAGACTGGGGTTCACCTTTGCACTTGTCAGCAAAGTAGGCTGTGCTGCCTTTTGGGAACATGATTCAGGATTCATTAACTGGATTCCGGTTAATCTGCAACAATGGTTTGGCTTTCTATCCCATACTGTACTTTCACCTGTGCCATCTACCTCAGGAGGACAGCACGCTTTGGTTAACTCTTTCTCAGACAGGTTTCTACATTTCCTCTCCTTTTGCCTTTATCGGGGTGCCCCAGGCCCTCTGCTCATCACTACTCTCCCTGCTCAGCATAGGTAACCCAATACAGTTGATAGCTAAAACAACTCTATCACTGTTTTCCTATACGCTTGGCACATTTACTGCCTTCTGAGACTGGTATTTCATGAAGTGAGCTGGTTTCCTCTTCTAGAAGCTCACTTGAATGTCATCTAACAGTAAAAACACTACTAGGTGCCTGCATAACATTTTGTAACCATTGATCCTCACAAAAAGCCAAATCTGTGAGGAAAGATATTATTTTCACCCATGACTTCAGAGCAAGCTATGAGAACACTGCATGCCCAAAGCTGTGGAGGGAGGTTTTGGGATCCCCAGTGACCCCTCGGAGCTCAGCTGTGTTGGAGCAGCTACATACCACCATGTGGTGGGACCTGGGAAATGTAACACTTCTTTCCAGCAGGTTCCTCTGCTCTGGCACTCGGCAATGCAGCAATCCCACTTGGCTACCACCAAACGCAACTCCCATCACCAGGTCTCCTGCTAGCCCTTTTTAAGGAAAGGACCTGCCATCAGGGAAACAGGCACTGGAGGGGAAAAACAATCTGAGCTGTGAGGCTCACAACAGCCCTGAGCTCACCTTGGCTATTTTCTCTGCACATGGTCAGTTGCCACTACCAGTAGTAGCAGGTGGTTTCATCTCATTAGCCACAACGTTATTATTCCTAAATACAGTAGCTACTGTGTGTCCTTCCTGAACAAGCTTTTATTGACAGACTAATTTATTCTGCTCCAGCCCACTGTCAAGAGTAAAGGCACATATGCCAAGCTCCAGGTGCCTCTCTCAGCGTCCATCACACAGATGTGCTTAGCATTCATTTACCACTCCATATCTGCTTACAGTCAACCCTAGGCAACAGACCCAAGCTGAAGACATACCTCTCAGCCTCCTGGGACCAGGTCTGGGATATAAACGCCTTGCACAGAGGAAGGACACATTAGCAAAATAGCACACAGCATCACAACAGAAAATGCTGTGTGAATGGGGACCACAGTGAATGTCAGTGTCTTTGGTCAAAAAAAATTAAATTATTTTGACCTTTGGGAAAGAGCCAATAGCAGAATGGGCCCACCACCAGGCCTATAAGGCAAAAGAACATGCCAGCCCACGTTGGCAAGGGTTGGAAGCTGAGAGGTATGCCATGAAGTCACATAGGAAGAAAGATGAGGCCCTACCCTGGGTGTGACAGAGGGAGGGGGAGCGTTCGATCAGCGGCCACTGCTGTTCACCAGGCCATGAAACTCCTCCCAGGCCCTGGCAAGCCAGAGGGAAAAAAAAAAATGAAACAAAAAACAAAAAAACAGCACTTCAGATCAAAGGCTTCTTAACTTTTAACGAGAGCAGAAACATTCAATGGCGTTTGAAAGGCACTTGTCTTCAGAGAGCAAGGCAATATTCTCTGATAGCCCTAGTGGATAGAAGCATCCTTAAAACCCAGCCAAACATCTGACAGCGCGAGGCAGCTTTAACGTTCTGCACAGACATGAAGCGTTCCCACTGGCTGCTGGTGATATAGCTACATTAATACCCAGAGACAGGTATGACCTTCCCAGTCACAAATGGAATATCCATTTCCTATTGCTAATAAAATAGCCGATGTTACGTCTTTCTGGAGGATTATCACGTTCCTTGGCTGGTTAAACTCAGCCAGTTACTGGCCTCATGCTTCACCACATACCTGTCTATGTAGTAATCCCCCCAAAAGGGGCTTCTTTTAATGCCACACAGCTTAGTTATTACCAAATTCTTCAATCAGGCAGCAGAATCCAATTGTTATTAGAAAGTCTCATTTCCTATTGTAAACCTGCATTGTTAATGACAACCCAGTAAAAACATTACAGCTATTTGAAATGAAAATGTTTTCAGATAAGTTAGAAGGACAGGCCTAACGCTGCATTCCCTGGTGGAGAATGTTACTGACGGACGAAGCTAGCAGACTGAAAAATTGCTGTCTGTTTTACGAAGGCAGCATACTGAAAGCCCTCTCAGGGAAAAGATGCCGAGGTTAATGTGAGCATGACTATTATCTTCTGGGATCAGAGACATCAAAGAATCTCATAGTTGTCCATGCCCAGCAAAACAGTGCTGGTGCCTACAGCACATGCTCAAGCCATTTACTGAACCCAGAGAGTCCCATGGAGCTGGAGGGACCTTAAAGGGAACCCAGGTCAGTCATAAAACCAGACCACACTGCAGATTTTGTTGCTGGTACTTAGCAGCTACCTCACATCTTGTTTTCTGCATTGCCTGTATTAGTCAGCATCTGTGCCAAAACCAGACTACCAGCCTGGCTCTTACCTGAGCCTCACAGAGTCAAGCTCCCAATCAGCATTTGCAAAAGCAGCTCAGGTGTCATACGCTCTTTCCCAGCAGAGTCATAGCCCAAACAAACACAGAGTATACTGGCAGAGTGCCCATCACATGCACTCTGCAAGACTGTACACCACATACAGGCAATCTTGGTGGGAACCCAACAAAGAGGGCACAAGCAAGAAGCTTGTCACTGTGGTGTACAACTTGGAACTTGTGACACTGCCTTCCCAGACCAAAGGACAGCAAATCCCTCTTTTGAAAGCGCTGAAGGTGAAATCCTAAAGATCACTGACTTCAGCATCACCAGTACAGGCCTGGTGAGTGGCAAAACACTCCAGTTCTTCCCAGCTCAAAACTGCTTTGACAAAACTTCCAAGAAGCAACTAAACCTCCATAGGATCCCAAGGCGCAGGCTCCTGTGAACTACCAAGGTGATGAGCTGGTCTAAGAGAGTCCTTATCTATGGCTGGCTAGGTTTTCTCCTCAGTCTCCCTCCATCCATGGTAGCTCAAAATCCTCCTGATCTTGACTAGGATGGACAAGGGAGTAACAGTCCTCCATGGGAGTCCCAAAGCTACATGGTATGTCTAGCTGACCCTTAGACATGAGTCCCTGAAGGCAAAGGAAATGTGAGGGAGAAAGTCAGAAAAGGGTGCTGCAGATGCAACAGGACAGCACACAGGACACAGCTGTGGTGCATTACTACACCAGGTCAGATCTGCAATTCAGCCTGAAGTACAGCAGTATGCTGCCTAGAGGAAAGAAACCCACAGGTGGCTCATTCTAAGCAAGGCAGCAGCACAGAAGCCCCTAAATGGGAACTTTTCCCCCAAGTCTCCCCAGACACAGCACCCTTCAAGGCCACAAGGCCAAGAAGTCTTCCAGAAAAAGGAAAACTGCCCGTGTCACCCAGTCAGCACATGGTACTAGACACTGTGGGTACAACTGCCTCCCTCCAGAAGAAAGTTAGGGGGAAGAGAAACTCTGGATTTGAAGCCCTCTTAGCTGCTGAATACAGATTGGAAAGCTATGCACATCTCCAGCCTTGTCAAAAAGTCTCTACCTTCATGTCTTCCGTCCAACCTCCCACGCCTTATATTGCTACCACGTTTCCATCACCCATAACCACATCTTCTCTCCTTCCTCTCCCACAGTTCTCCCCAAACTTGTAACTTTTGTTCTCTACAGAAGGGATACAAGGGCAGATTATTTGTCAACATAATCGATAATTTATTACCCCTTTCAAACCAAGGAGTTCCCTGTTCCAACATCCCAATAACATCATGCACATAGTCCTTCAGCTGCCAAGTCCTCCTCAGACAGAGAGAAAAAGCTCCTCCAGCCAAGAATTTTTAAGCCAAGACCCTCATATATATTATAGTACTAATGACTCCAACTATCTGCTGACTTGACTGAAAAAATCCACCAGGATGTGTCTGCCCTAATGTACCTAAACTATGCTAGCGGAGCAAACTGCTCTCCATTTTGTACCGAACAAGGCTGCCAGTTAATTTTGTCTGGCAGAATCTTTACGATCTGTGACGTGCCAAAGGCACAGTGCCAGAGAGTCTAAGAGGTTATTTTTATGTATAGACATTTTTAGTACCTTATTGCTATACTGTCTGCGCAGCGATCAGATACTCACTGAATTGATTCCCAACACTTAGGTTATTCCCATTGAACAGATGGGAAATGGAAACATTAGCAGGCAAAATAAAGCCAGCCAGAGCTGTTCTTCCACACTCATTCTTGACCCACAACTGTTGAAACTTCCCATCTTCTCCCCCACTGTCCAGGGTCAGGACCCAGGCAGGGCTCCCTTTACCCCCATCAAATAAGTTGGGGGAAAAAAAATGCAAATAGGAGCTACTGTCGGAGACTCCAGCAAAAAGAGGAAGAGCCACCACAGCTGCCTCAAGGGACTTTCCAAATGACCATTGTGCAAGCAGCACTAGCTGTTTCCTCTAACCACCCTCAATCTTTTAAGTCCTAGCAGTTCCCCTTCAGTATTTCCCCGTGCAGCCCTGCCTCCTTACCATCTCCTTCCCCAGCTAAAAAAGGAGACAGCCCATAGTGCATACTATCGTCACAACAGTCCCCAAGGTCTGTCCCTTCTGCCAGCCTGCGTGCAATCTCCCAGCACACTGACCACTCACTACACTCTGCAGGTATTGTGTCTAGAGCAGCACAGCCTCTTTCTGGCTGCTCCCCATGTTCTATGAGAGTGTTTGGGATTTGTTCAAAGCCAGTCAAGAACTTCATGACAGGCCTGAAAACTAACAGCTTTAAAAAATCTAGGATATTCTTTCAGTTTGAAATAATTTTTTCACGTATCTGGCAGTATCTGTAGCAAAGGCAAATAGGGAAGGCATCATGACTTTGAAATGAACACATCTGCACCGACCTCCTTGAAAAGAAACGTGAAATAAATGCATTATAGTCACTTCTTTGGTAAGAGACAGGCCACCAAGATAAGGAAGCCTTTTACAAAGTCACAGACACTTCTGAATAAAGCATACTACGGTGATGGAGAACAAATCAATGAATCCATCATTTCAAAGCCCAGGTCTATGGAAGTGCTCTTAGACTTGCAGCACCTGGAAATATTACTGGAATTGAAGAATGGAGTGATAAATGAATTAAGCCAGTATTGCAGAAACTCAGGAGAAGAGGACAGATACCAGATCTGGAACATCACCACTCTCTTCTAGCTTTTATTCCTGCTCTCGGACTTGAAGGAATGAGGGTGAAAAAACGCAGGTCTCTAGAACTGGCAAGACCCAAAGCAACCTGCCTTCCACTGACAGGTATCAGTGTGTATGGGTCCCATTTGCAAACCATCTAACTTTAGACAAGGCTAACTCTGCCCACACCATTTAAGATACAGTCAAAGACAAAGATGACACAACTGGGGCAGCAGCATTGAGGAGTTCTGCTAAGGTCTTGGAAATCAGCAAGCAAATGGAAACCAGCATTATAAAAATGTAACAGAGTTAAAGAATTAGTTAACTCTGATGTAACAACAAGGGAGACTTCTCATAAGCACCCCACCACCAGCTTACCAGTCTCACAAACACTGATCTTCTTGCCCAACACCTGCCACTTCCATGGGGATTTCTCTTCCTCATTCCTCACTTTTTTTGTCATTCTTCACTTTTTTGTCCTGAGAACCTTGCCCCTGCAGTCTTCTTACAGGGCATACCCTTAATCCCTCCATAGGATATCTGCTTGTTTTCTAGCTAACATACAGTCTGAGGCTATTTCCTCCAACTGCCTGCAGTGAAATGAATCCAGTGCCAGCCCTATTAAGATCAACTATTCTTCTCGTTTACTCGAGCCGTCCCATTAGTTATCAGTGGTGACTTTGAAAGGAAAGGATAGTTTTATACCCTGCTCAGCTCTCACTGCAGCAGGCACTCAAAATAACTGAAGCTTTGTTTTCAGAAAAAGCAGCCTTGCTTTAGAGCTGACAGGACGATCCATAAAGTCACACAGCAACCAAAATATTTCCAGACCAGCCTGCTCAGTGGCAGCCTGCTGTATGGCCACAGGTCTCTCCTGGCATATGAAGCAAAGTTGGTGAATTTGCCTGGGATTCCTGGATAGTACTGCAGGTGAGAGCTCTCATCACAGGAGATGGTCACTGACCACACAGTTATCAGTGCAGAAAAGAAAGGCTGATAACCCCAGGCAGGGCAAAGGTGTATGCAAGACAGCCAAGCAGCACTTAACGCTGCAATGCTCAAAAATCAAACTTTACAGTGATCACTTCCCCTCCACCCCTCTCACAATTGCAGTTCACTCACTACAGATACCTGAGTATTTTCAGTGGCTTCACTGAGACATGACCAGGCTGTGGCCAGCAATATTCTGCTTTCCGAAAAAGCACAGTGCATCTCCTAAGGCAGCAAAAGTAAGAGGTCTTTTTTTTTTTTCTTAATTCCAAACCACAGGGAGTGTCACTGTCCATAACCCACTGTCACTGCTGGACCATGCCACCTCCATGGTTAACAACACTGATGAACAGAACCTATTAAGTGGTTCACTACATCTGAGTGCACCTCTCAGTCCACCTCCACGGGAACAAAGAGAAGCGTTTTCTCTCCGGCTACTGAAACAATGTAGCCCACAAAATGTCACATATGTTCTTTACAGGTGCTCAGCACTGTAACTTCTAAGGTACTATAAATCCCCTGGAATTAAGCAGAGTCCAAGAGATTGTTCTAGCCCTTCTAGCAAGACAGGAAATTAATACAGACTAGGCTGACCCTTCCACTGACTGGGATTTAGGCAGCTTGTCAATATCACAAGCAAGAGAAAGGACAAACACAGGAAAACTGCAATGAAAGATCTGCTTATCTAGCTAAATGTACAAGCCCCACCACTGAGAGCAGAAAGGACAGAATGCAGAATAGCTCCTTGGAATAGCTGTGAAGCAACAGATACTTTTCAAATGCAGCTTGGCAGCACCACTGCTTTCTGAAACAAAGGGGGCTGCAGCCTCACTGACAACTCATGAAAAATGGTGTCTAAAAATGAGTTAATATGAAATGCATCATCACAAAAGGAATATATAAAACGTGAAACACAGGGCTCAGGTTCCACAGTGAGGGGCATGCTAGCAATTTCTACAGAAGCATTCATTTACAGTGTGTCAAAAGCTAATCCAGGTCAATTCGCTACCTAAAAGTCAAGGTTTTGAGAAACGCCTGTTCTTTTCTTGCTAAGCATGCTCCCTTCCCTGAAGCACAATCAATGCCAATCAAACCCTGCACATGAGCAGAGCTCTAGTGGAGAGATGCAGCCCATACAAATGAAAAATGCCACAAGCCCCCCTAGAAAGGCAGCCCTGACAAAGCCTACAGCACAGCTCTTCCATTAGAGCCTTTCATAAAACACAGCCAGAGTGTGAATATAGAGTGCTGGCTAGAAAGCCCTCCCGAGTCATAAATCACATGGTACATGCACAGCATAAGTGGAGTTTATTCATGACGGACAGTATTTCAACAGGGCTTGATAGATGGGTGAGGAAAAGCAGCCAGACTTTATGGACGATAGAACTAGTTACACAAGAGATTCTTCATTAGTGGGAGAACCTTAATGATATGAAGCATAGCCAAGCAGAGTCAGACTGAAAGCTGGGGCTGTCCTGCTCTTCTCTGTCAACAAAGCAGGCACCGTCACCTCTGCAGCTGCTGCTGCTTGCTGCCTGCTGGTACCAGGCAAGAAAGGCACAAGTTGGTCCACGCATCACTACACAGAAACTCCACTGACAAGCAGTTCTGCTCTAAATTTACACCAGTGCCATTAGAAGGAGATAGTGGACAGCACTGCAGTCAGACTGCTGGAGCTCAAGCGAGGCAATGGAAAAGAAGAGCTCTCGTGATCCCCTACATGGCGGAAGGTTAACTGCTTAGATCTACCTCACTAGGACACCATCAGAACAACTCCTGACTATCCCTCCTACCCACAGAAGAACAAGTGGGAGACAAGCCAGTCCACCCCTATTTAAGAATTGCTCCCAGCTGTAATCTGAGCTACTAAATTTGATTCCCCAAACACCTGTTATTCTTGGACAAGCTCATTTTGCACCATACGTCAGCAGCACAAAATGAAACTTTGATGCTATGCAGGAAGAGGGCAGCCAGCATGGCATGTTACACTGTTGTAGGGAAATAAGACCACAATATTGGATGTACCATCACTCAAGGACTGACATCTGCAAGAGCAAGAACAGTTACAAACATTGCTATAGCAGCATCCTCTGTGCTAGGAAGTGCTGGTGACCACAGCTTATACGGAAAAGATCACATCATTTCCATTCTAAACTTGCTACATGAACTACCACCACAGCTTAGGACAGTTGGCTCAGTACACAGCTTTCCCTACAGAGACTGAGAGAAGTCAAACACCTCCCTCCTCCCACCACAAAGCCGCATCACCACGGTCTGCAGTCTGCTACTGCTGAACAGGAGTAAAATATCCTGTTATGTGTCCACATGAGCACTTTGCTATCTCATAACATGGACAGAGAGTCGATAGTGCCCTCTCCTGGCAAAAAGTGCATCAGAAGTGTTACTGGCAAATTCACGAATATGAGATTTCAACAAGAGAAGTGGGAACTTTCAGAAACCAAAGCTGCCTAGAAAAAAATTAGTTTAATACTAATAATTTCTCCTTCCCTTCTCTTTCCCATGCACACAGGAGGGAGGGCAACATGGAACACTAGACGCCTACAGGCAGTTTAAATGAGACCTTTGTACTATTGCTAGTGACCCACACTCAAACTTGGCCACAACTGGAAGCTAGCTGTCTGCTAAAAACAGGATTGATCTCACCAAACTGTTTGACAGCACACTGATGACAGGGTGATTGTGTGGAAAGGACAAGCTAGTATAATGAAAGGAAGTCATGAAAGGTACTTACACCCTGATTACGGACTAGATTAGAAAGCTCGCTGCTCTATCAATGTCTTACTAATTTGTTTCACTTCTTTTTCCAGGTACACCTTTTCAAGTGTTAATTTAACCAATATGACCTAATCAGTGTATTGGTTTATAATATGCTTAAGAAAAAAAAAATTACATTATTGACCTCTAATACCTATATATACAATTTTTCGTCACTTTGTGGGAAATAAAAGTCACCCTGAATGGCCTGGTATGGTAAGCTATAATAGGTTTATTTAAATATACAGCTGTCCTCTCTGTGTACCATGATCTTCTAGTCTTGTTAAAGAGCCTCTGTCACCAGGGCCTGGAAGACTTAATATATGACGTTTATTATGATTGGAAATCATTTGTACAGCACTGTAAATTCACACAGCACTTTCCCAAGACCATTTATAAGTCTAATGGCCCTATAAATCCCCGTTAGCTTCCGCACTTTATTCCCCAGAATCTCTATTTATTCAAATGATCTCGGCCCCCCCACTGCAATCTTGTCTTTGAATACATCAAGCCACAGTCCCACACTGGGCTGCCCATCTCCCAAGTGACAGGCTGGGTGGATTGCTAAAAAAGCCCTGGACTATACACTTCAAAAAAATAAGGTTTTACTATTAGAACCAAATGTCCCTAAAAAAACCACAATAATGACAGATATTCAGCTTTCAAAGCGCACTGGCAACAAATGCTGCTGTTTGTATTACTGTTCGCAGTGAACAGCCCTAACGCACATGAGCACTTCTTTCAATTCTTGTGATCTGCATTAAATTGCTCAAGCACGCATGCAACCAGCAGCAGGCCCTCCCCCTGCCACCACACGTACTTGATGCTATCGGTGTGTGTTTTATATTCCATGATGGTGTTGGGAGGTAGGTTGAGGACTCTTCGTAATGTATCACGTATCCGGGCTGTTGTGGCCTGGTCGCTGGCTGTCTTGTTCCATATCGAGATAATATCCTCCTACAGAATAGCATGTGAGGGGTAAGCAGATGGTACTTTTTGTAGCCCTGCCCAATGGAAGTACATGCTAATTCTCAGAAGCACTTACCTGGAATCGGACAGAGACGACTGCCCCACAGATTTCTTCCCCCACCATAAACTGTTCTCCCAACATTGCCAGAATGAGATTCTCCCAGCATCGTGACGCTAAGCCCTTTCGCAGACGGATAATCCATTTACCACCATTTTTGTTGGCATCATCCTACGAAGAGGGGCAAGAAATCGATTTGTTTTCTGCTAGCTATTTTTCTGCTTACCACAAGACAGCAGAGCCACAGACAGGAGCAGATATTGATTGGGTGGGGCAAGGGACAGAATGGAGGTATTTTTAAGCAAAAGCATTTTGCTTCTCCCCCATACAAGCAGAGACAGAGGTATACCACTTTGAATACAAAGTATTTGAAACAATGACTCTCAGCATTCCAGACGAAGTCTATGCACTGAAGACTTGAGCTCTAGTGTTTTGATCCCACTAGCAATCACGAACAGCAGCCTACCAATCTGCACACAGAACCAGAGGCAGGGACCCTAAAACTATTCCTAAACCTGAGACTGATTCCCCCTTTGTTTAGTCCCCTGTATATGCAGTTCTGCTTGTAAAACAGGAAAAAGCCCTCATCACAGACCATGGAAGGCAGGGAAAGAGTTTGCAAAGTGATACTTAAAAGCAAGCAAAAAGTTGATAAACATTTTCCTTCCACATTTCCAGGAATGGGCTCACAAGTTGTGTTAACACAGAAAGGGCCAGTCCGGTCTCTGGGAACCACGGACATTATCACACATCATACAGCTGAATGTTTGTTCCAGCCTGCGGTGGCCCAGGGAAATAACCAAAAATGAGGGGAGAGAGTAAAGAAAAAATTTATGCTAAGCACCCAGTCTGTCACCTCAGTATTGTGATTCCATATGTTGCACCTGAAAAAGAGCTGAAAACTCCTACAGACTCCCCTTCACAGAATGCACACCTATGTCAAACAGCAGCTCCTCCTCTGTGCAGAACACTGTGGCATTCTCTTATACAATAACACCGGGAAATCTTACAAGGTCAGAGGGGAACAAATTCCATCCAAAGCTGAACAGAGAGAGGTATGAACAAGTCAAAGAGATGGCAGTTAGGAAGGGAAAGGGAGGATAGGTCTAGGACAGAAACAGAGAAGAACAAATGATAACTCAGGAGACCGCACAACACAGGACATCCCTGGCCAAATCACCAGCAATGCCCTCTGCCAAGCTGGGGCACACCTTGAAGATGCTAGGCAAGGCAGCCCTTAATGAAACAAAGAACTTTATTTTAGCCTTAAAGCTTGTCTAGGGGTCAGATAAAACTAAACATTCGTGTGCTCTCAGAGGCACCAAGTGCTAATGAAGCAATCCTGAGCAAACAGGGAAGTGCCAGCACAACAGCTGCATTCACCAGACTCCTAGTTTTCGGGTATGTGCTAAAGCCTGTACTGAAAGGGGAAGGCATCAGCCGGACAAACCTCAAAGAGTGACAGCAGCCACATGCACAGTGAAGAATCCAAATCAACACAAGTTCTAGGAATGTGGCATATTCCTACAAGATGCAAACTACTTTCCGATTAAGTGTCCTTGTTTTCCAACTTGTGAACATCACACTCTAAGAATTAAGCCATCTAGGCTTCAGCCTTTAAGCAGGGAGTTGGGTTTAATTCCTCAAACTTTCCACAATGACTAATGGGAATCAGAAGAGAAAATGATATTGCTCAAAATATTTCAAAGGTGGTTTAAGCAGGTTCAAGGCTAGAAAGAGAGCAGTGATTGGGAGGCAGATGCTGTATTGTGTGTTTTATGGTTATTGTTAGTTTTCTTTCAGGTTAAACAAGCTTCGGTTCAGTCAAGCATTTGATTTCCCCTTACCAGAATAATAATGATCTGCAGCCCAGTAAATCACCAGGGAACATTATGCTTAGTGCTCCTGACTTTACCCAGAAAAGGCACAGATGGATCCAGAAAAAGATCAGAGCTACATACATGCATATATGTGCCTACAAGAATGACAGTAAGTAAGGATTAGTTTGGAAGAGAAAGGAGCATAAACAAAGCTCTACAAAGCAAGCATCAAAGGGAAGGCCAGCAGCAAGATTCCAGGTCCTTTTCTATAAATACAAGAAGGGAGTGGGGCCATAAGTAAAAAAACCCCAGAGAATCTCTCCACCCCCATCTTAAAATGGCTACAGGGAAATGCTTTATAGAAATTCTGGTATTGTTATCTTGTGGACTCTCTGGCTGACACGTTATCAGAGCACCTAGCTCACTAGGAGTCTGAAGAGGGTTAAACGTTTTATATAAATTGTATTTGCAGTAACTGGCTATAAAACACCTTGCTTAAAATAATTGCCAACTAGGGTCACATATAAATTTCTCAGGACCAAGCAGCATAATTAGGTACTTCAGAGCAACACATAAAATCCTCATATTGCGAATGGTGTTGGTCACTGCTGGAAGCAGGCCAGGAACTGGAAGAATGATTTGCTAGGCAAAGATTGTTTTTTCTTTTTTTAACAGATTTGGGTATGAATGAACAGAAGCAAACTAAGTGTCATGGAACAGAAAAAAAAAGCAAACGAAGGGCTAAGTCTTCTTTCCATCTCCAACCCTACGTACAGCTGTAGGCTTTTAACCATATGCACCTCTTCCTTTCTTGTCTGAAAAAGGAGGGTTGGTTTCTTATAGGCTTTGTTGAATTCCTCTTACAGAGGTCCAGCCCTCCTAGAGGAAAGCCCCACACTGCTGTCACTGGACAAAGCTATAATAAGGGGCAAGTGTCTTTATTAGGAGGCACAGAGCTTAGCTGGGGTCTCCCCTTCATTGGGCTCCAGGCAACACTGCCCAGAGATCCTCCGGACCCACAGGCAAAGGCAGTTCTGCAACCTTTGGGGGAGTGCAGCTAGCAACTCCCTGCATCTTCCCTCTCCTCTGCCAGCAGGCCACAGTACTGCTAGGTTACATGGGACAGAGTTCTGAGGACAAGTTTACAGGAAACCCAGAAGAAAGGACTGCACCCAAAAGCCTGGAGTGCCATTTAATGACAAGAGTCCCTTCACTGTAGAAGGTTCCCTCCAGATCCAGAATACTCTGGGAAAATATCAAGGCAGAAATGAGAGCTCAAACTCACCTCCCACATGGGTTTGATCCCCTCTTTGAAAAGATGGAAGTCACTATGGCCTGTCAGGTCCCCAGGACGTACCATGTGACTGTAAAACCGCCAGAACTGCTCCACCTGCAATGACACAAACGACACAATAAGGCTGCTCAAACTGTTCACAGCCCAGATTCCTACAGAAACAGGCTTCCCTTTCTACACCAACTTAGCCAGAGCCACCTTCTCCTCTTCTGTTCTACTTTCTTGTCACAAGGGTCTTGATAAGACACCCAGAAGGCAGTGGTAGGATCAGAGCTTGGGTGCTTGTTTCTGACTGGCTCTATTACCAGAAGACCACTTGAAATATTCAACAGGTGCCTCCAAAGTCACTCCGTGTTTGTCTGAAGAAAGCCGTGCTAAGATAACTGCTTCTCTGGAGAACAGTTCCAAACATATCTTGTAAATCCTACTGCCCAAACTTTCATCAGTGGATATGTGTCAAGTGCATCAGCTACAGCCAAGCCCCTCTACACATTAGCCCTGCATTAACCACTGCTCTCTGCAATCGTGGAGATTGCAGGAGCCTCCAAATGAGACATTTTTTGTTTTTAACTTTATTGTGTCCAGGTGTTAAGACAACAGACAGATTCTGGTGTTGGTTTAAGATCTTAAGGCACCATTCAGAGCTTTTATTTAACTAACTCTTATTCCTTTTACAATCTGCAATGGTGCACTTGGACCACTTCACTCTGACCAGTTCTGATTCTGGCAACCCTGGGTCTACTTCAAACAATCTGGCCAGAAGGCAAGGGAATTACCTGTTCCGGTTCTTAAAAACAACATATTTATCCTTTGAGGTTCTCTGGATAAGAAAGGATTTCAGAGAGGCTGGATCTTTAGAACAAAACAAGGCACTGGAAGAGATTATACTAATTTCCATATTTTAAGAGGACTCTACTCAGTAAGACAATAGCTATTAAGCAGATCAGCAGTGAGGCTGGAGGGGACAGACACCATCCCAAGTACTTTATCAGAGACCTTAATGACTTGGTCAGCACTTGGAATTCTGCTCCAATCTCTGACCTCTGCCGTCCAAGCAGGAATTTGCTTTTATAGCCAATAAAATTATGAACCAAGACTGAGGTGGGGTCAGAAGCAATCTATTTTTGTCAAACACATCCAAATGCAGAGTGGAAATTACATTCTTACACCAAGTGAATATGCCCTCTAGTGGTTAGCATTTAAAAGCTTTTAGAGCTTTCTACTGAAAAGCAAAGAATAAATCTGAACCCAGGTTCAGGTGCAGACAATTCTTCTCTGAAGCTTGTTCCTCCTTCTTAAACAGAATTTGGAACCAAACACATTATCATATCTGCTGGCCAGTCTCCCTCCATCCTAACTGAACTCTAGCACTTCCAACCTACAACAGCTCCCATAAATTCTTTGCAGCAAAGAGCAGACAACAGAACGTGCGAAGTTTTTCCTCTAAGGAGCTAAAAATCAATGTTAAGTCTACACTGATTTAACAGACTGAAAAGTTATTACCAGATCATCAAGCGGTAGCCATGTTTTTCATTCACTGAACTAAAAGTACTTGCTCACACACGGGAATAGGAGCAGTAACTACCCATGATGACAGGCTTAGAGCTATTCTTCCCATTCTTACGTTGTGTGGATGCAATAACACAACCCAGCTTCTTGGACAGGCATATTTTTGCAGCCTCCAGAAGCAATAAAGGGATATTTTTACAAATTCTCACATTAAAAAAAAATAGAAATTTACTGGTGGGCAAAATTAACATTTGCAAGGCACCCTGGAAAATCTGGACAAATACTAGATTTAAAAAAAAAAAACCAAAACCAAACAAAAACCAAACACACACACCCCCCCTAAAAAAAACACCCAAAACAACAAAACAAAGCAGCCAACAGACTTCCTAGCCTTGAGAATGGTATCGTATGTGTTGCCTCTACAATGGAGACGTGTTTTGCTTATGTATCTTGGGATTTTAATGACGGTTTTACACTGCCAGTACCATGCAACAACCCAACACTGCCTTTCCAGGACACGCTCAATTTATTCCAGGAATAAACAACCACAAAGAGTGGAAGGAGAAAGGGAGAGCAGTTTGCCTTTTAATGAACTTCACTGCAACACCGAACTGCACCTCAGTCATCACTTCCAGACAGACAATGGGCCACCAGCTGCTTGTATATACAGCACACCAGATGCTTGTTCCAAACAGTCTTTGTGGTGGAAATACGGGCAGGGGGGAAGTGCAGAGGGAAGACTGTACAGCCTTTGCTTCACACCTACATTGCATCCAGAAAAGCTGTTCCTTTCTTCTCTTGCTTACCTGTCAAGTTCTGCTCCAGCTAGCAGATTTAAGCTACATGGGAGTTCTTTTCATTTTCTATTATTAACTCAGCTATCACCATTACTGCAGGCACAGATGTCTAGCACAGGGCAGAGGAGAACTGCTAAAGACATGTCACCTGCTGTAGGTAATTCAAAAAATCATATGTAAGTCATGGCAAATCACTCACTCTCCTCTGTTCCTGACAACAAGAGCACAGCCTGCATGTCCATGCACCTAGCACACGGGGAGTAAGCCAGTCACAATGACCACACCATGCCCAAGTGACACAAGGACAACAGGGATATACTCACAGAGGCAAAGGTGCCAATCTGTTTGATGTTCTGTTCATAACTCTGCGAGCTGGTAGGCCTCCCGGGTGTTCGTCTGGAGTACCAGAAGGTGTAATTATACTGCAAGGGGTGCTCAGCTGGCCCTGGGACAACAGCCTGCAGAACAGAAAAGCTTGCTTACCCCTTATATGCTCCTCTAAAAGGAGAATGAGAAAAATTACATTCACAGCATCAGAAGTCCACATGTTCCTGCTCTCGCAGACTATAAAACAAACAGACGATCCTCAGTTTTACAGAAAAATACTATCTCTGTGTATTGTCTGAAATGGACCATTAGGCTAACAGCAGCTGACTATTTCAAAGGATATTAGAAATCTGCAGTGCAGGGATGGCTAAGGAAATAGTAACTCAAGCTCAGAAGAGTATCACAAAAAAAGCAACCCTTGTAATTATTAGAAGCAGTATTACTAAATTTTCCTTTAGTCCTTAACTGTGCCTGTCTCAAATGAAAAAAGACAAACTAAAAAGGGCAATGCAAGAGTTTTAACTTTTTCCAATTAAGAAAAAAAAAATACTCTCCTTCCCTGGGAAGAACAAAACTCATTTATACTAAACCATGATTCAAAAGCAATTATAACTCTTTGGTGACACCAACTCCCTTAAGCAACCAACACCCTAACACTCTGGGAGGATTAGTCTTAGAACTCGTTATGTCAGCTTTGGCAGAACCCATCACTAGCAGTGGGCAGTGATTATTTTTCAATTTCCAAAACACCCATTTCTGATTAAAAAGACTTCTAATGAGCATAAAAGAGGCTAACGAGAACTCACTACCCAAAAGTCAAAATTGACAGGAAAAAAACCAAACCAAAAAGCCCTTAACTTGTATCATTTGACATTGTCACAAGAGTTACTAGGGTTTAAGTCTCTACCCTCCTCTTGTCTATGTTAAGTTTATAAGGATTACATTACTTTAGACAGAATAATTTTCCTAAGCACAAGATTAAAAAAAATGAAAACAGGATGGATATAAGCCTTCTTAACTAGGCAACACTACACGTACAGAGACCCATCTTAAGAGTTATTTCAATAGTGGCACAAACACAGCCTGGTAAACCAAATCCAAGCCACTATTCCTTCATCAATCAGTCCTTCCTCCACACCCTCTTCCAAAAAAATTTTGGGGGAAAATAAAGCTTTATTTCTCATATTTATTCAAAAGCCTGGCAGATCACTAGCTGCGTTTGTGAAGGGAGTATTCAAGCCTCAGACTATATACCTCCAAAAGCTACATCAAATTATTCAAATGCTAACATAGCCCCTCTGTCTTCATTACAAAAGTAACAGCACATTGAGTGACCACAGCCCACCAAGACATATGTTGCTTATCCCTGAACCGAGGACTGACTCTCTAGCACTCCCACATCATGCCTTAGCGATGGAATGCAGATGCCAGCACCATACCTTCCTCTTGGTAGTACTCTGTGGTTTCTCTCGATCATTCTTTTCCTTCTCACTGTCTTTCTGTGTGTTATTCTCCTCATTTTGGTCATGGTCTCCGCTATCATCATCTTTCAATCTGATAAAGAGAAAGATTAAAGAAAGCAAGTCTTACATTGCACAGCAGAGAAAGTTCATACCAAACCCCAGCAGTCTCTGCTTCTAAGCTCCTCCGTGGTACAAGGGCCATCAGTATTTGAAAATCTACACTTGGCAACCCACACAGTAAAAACTACTACTACTTTGCATGCCAGAGCCCATCACAGGCATCTTAGGCACACACTTTTAAGCAGAAGCAAGCAACAAAACGCGTTTTTAGAAGAAAATAAACCAGTTTGTACTAGATCTGCCACTGAACATCCCAGTGACCTGTTAGGGTCCCTAACTACTCAGTTGGTGAACACGAAGGCCTGTCACTGTAACTTTGCTGACTCTCTCCCACCCCGCTCCCCATGCCCCTAAGCATAGCAGAGACAGCCCCTCAGGCGAGCAGACACCACGCCAGCGCCCCGCACGCCACAGGTCTCTCCACCCCCACCCACCCCATTCCCTGCGAAGGGCCAGAAAAGATGAGCGAGAAGCAGGGCCATAAGGCGGCCCGCCACTCCCCGGCCTGCCGGCCCGCCCCACGGCGGTGCACCGTGAGGGATGCCCCGCCACGAGCAGAGGGTTGTGCCGCCGGACCACCGCCCCCCACCCCTCGGGCCCGCACCCCCTCAGGGTCAGGCAGCAGCACCCGAGCAGGGCCGGGCCGGGCTCGGGG